AATTAATAGGACAAATATAAGATATACAATTTTATAAACGTATCTTAGTCGTACCTATATCTTATTTTTTTTAAAAAAATTGTCATATCATCGTATCTGTATCGTATCGTATCCGTATCTCGTACAGGTACTTCTTAAAAATGTTAGATATCTGTTGTTTTATTCTTGTAAACAAAGATAAGATTACGTATAACTTATTAACAACATATTGCAAGTCTAACAGTATCTACTATTGTCATGCTTGAGGATCTAGCTTTGATCATTTATCTTACTTGAAAGAAAGAGTCAAAGCCAACAAAACATGAAAGGTTGACCAATTAGCAAGTGGTAAGCTCGGATCTAGTGCCTGCGTAATGAATCTGTAGGATAGTTCTACATACAGTATTGTATAGTTATATAATGTGTTTGTCGGATTATAGTAGACAATAATGGACAAAGACCTATGCAATTTGCACATAGTTTTGGGTTATGGTCATTATCATGCAGATTGCAGCATTCATGGTAATTGGTGTGTCTAAACTAGGGGACTCATGAAGGGTGGCAATGACAATGGTGAAGGAGGGACCATTTCATTGTATCAAATTCAATATCTTCCCCCTCCTGGATTGTGTATTACTCTACTCAACCTTCCAATCTTATCTTACCACACCTTAAAAAAATATATATATTATACCTTAACGATACGAATCTGGTTGGACAACAATTTTAGTTGTTGTTTTAATTGATGGTTTTTTCTAACAATTATCCTAGTATACAAGACTCTTGCATGTCATGGGATCCTAAAGAGTTTAGTAATTAGTGTGCTTATTTACTTTTATTTTGAAAGAAGGATTTTTAAACTCAAAACCTCATGTCAATAGGACAAATGAATGCTTAATATAGCTCTAAGTTTTTTTTTTTTTGTTATAGGATGTTCATGCTTGCGTCGACTACTCTTTCGAGCTTAGCGATTAGTCATTATGCATGGCTTGAGCTGGGTTAGAGCATGTCTATAAAGGGATAAGGGTGACTAACCTTTAGGGGGTGTGAGAAGGAATTACTCTAAGTTTGATCTCTACTACTTCAAAAATAATAACAAAAAAGGTTGCAAAGCATGCAATTTTTAAAATTTTGTTGTAATGAATGGATGGGGTGATGGTATCTAACTCTCGCCAACCCCACGTCCAATTCAATAAGAAAGCCTATAAAGTTCATAACTCAATCATAATATATTTAGACTTCTATGGTAGATAATTTTAGACACGATTCATGAACAATATATAAAATTAACATGGAATTAAAGGGTTTTAGTTTAATCTAACAAGAGTGCTTGATTGACACATAATAAAAGAGTCGAAACAACCAAACTAACCACAAGACACACTCGATATAACATGACATATACCCAATACAACATGGAGAGCCCTAGATTTCAACCCTTATGCTTCGGATAAGAAAACAAATTGTAGTCATTAAAGTGGATTGAGTTGGTCATGGTGCCATATAGTCTTATACCATCCAAGATTGAGAGAAAACTTTTAGATTCCTCATGAAGATACCTTTCTATAGATCATGCCTACATGTATTTCTATAATCAAGACATCTAATTTGTCTCATCCTGTAATAGAATCAAACTATATATTATACAAAAGTATAAACCAAGTAGATTCCTCCAAAACTTGTCTTTGAGAGCGTATTGGTTCTGGTTTGAAGGTTGAGATGAAACGAAATTAATTTAATGACACCCTTAAATTATACTTTGGATCATTTTATAGTCTTAGTTACATGAGTTAATATTGATTCAATGTTGTAATGTCGAAAAGAAACAACGGACATACCAACCTCACATAGTATGTGGTATTAAACCCACTTGGATTAATATAACATACGATTTATTATAAAACCTCGTCTCAATGGTTGCCTACATAGTAAACAGTCGTCGTTGGCGTTTCCTACTCCTTTTAACATGAGTGCTTCATTTTCCTTGAATATATCCTTCATCATATTTTGAGATTTTTTCTTCTTTCTAGAAAGATTAGAATAGACTATGCTTGGCGAGAGATCTCAACTATCGGGCAAAAAATATCTCCAACTACTACAAATATCGGATTTGAGGTGACCACAAGTTACTTAGCGGCCTATTTTAATGACACCTTAATTTAATGACTTTTGAATCGACAATTGACCGAGTGAATAAGTCAACTTCCATGAACATTATCTACATGTAGGAAACAAGAGATGGGATAAAATCATGCATATACCAATTATTATTTTGTAGGGATTAAATTAGACTCAAGTGTCCAAATTCTATTCCATTTTATATATATCCCAATCAAACAAGCTCAAATGGATTAACATCATCAAGTCTTAAGCTTTGTTTGGTACTATGGAAAAATAGAAGAAATGAAAGTTGGAAAGATGGAAAGTTAGAAAGTTGGAAAGATAAATAAAACATCATGTTTGGTAAGGAAGTATAATAGGAAGGATAGAAAAGTAAATGAATTAACTTTCCTTCTAACTCACTAAACTAATCCTTTTAAAATTGGGAGGAAAAGTAGATGAAAAGTTAATTATATGCGTTGAAATGTATGTTATTTGTCTATATATTAGTTGATATATACATATATATCATATTTATCAACTACGTGCTATGTATACATTAATTTCATTTATATATATAATGGTAAAATATGTATTTATACTTTAAAAAAAAAAATTTGTATCTTACCAAATACAAAAAAATAAAATAAAATAATTCTTCTTACTTTCCATCTTTTTTACCAAATACAAAGGATAGAAGGAAGGATTCCTCCTTTGATGAAAAATGTATCACTCTCACTTTCCATCTTTCTATTTTTTTCATCCACCCTACCAAATGAACCATTAAATTAGTATAATGACATTGGTTTCAACAGTAATCTTCGATGATGGTGTGCAGATATTTGTTACAGTGACAGTGGTTTGTTTGGTAACAACAGAATCATTTCCATTTGGAGCTTTTCGGATCACCACAGTTTAAGTTTGTGTAACATATTGGACAAGAGTTTGCTTTTTTTTAGTATGAACGGCTGCGGTGGTCTTAAAAAAAATACAGTTATGTGCATGTCATGAAGCAGATATACAACTCCAATGATAGTTTAAGTGGTAAAAAAGACGAGTTATAAATTTAAACATTATAATTTTGAATTTTGACAACCTGTTAAGACTAGGTCATAAGGGATAAATCTCTTAGGAATACCCTAGTTCCGACGTAGGTGGCATGCGAAAAATTAGTCAAGGTATACGTAAGTTGGCTGGGACATCCCTTACTGTTAAAAAACAAATATACAAACATGATAATCAAGTTCTAGCCCTAACGTGAATGACATGTTGGGGATTAATTGAGATATGCGTAAACTAACCTGGACATCCTTTACCATTAAAAAGCAGATATACAAACAAGATAATCAAGTTCTAGTCCCGGTGTAAATGGGAGTAGGGGTGCAACTTGGGTTGGACAACCCAAAAAAATTAGAGCTTGGACAAGAGTTTTTAATAATTAGGTTGGGCTTGGATCAAAAACCTTAATCCAAATTCAATTTGGGCAGGCCTCGAGTTAACTCCTTGGATTCACGGGTTGAACCTGAATATTAAAATCAGGCTCAACTTGAATTATTATTATATAAATACAATTTTTGAATGTTATGTAATATATTTGAATGTTTTGTTTGTGTTCTATTAAACTAACCGTTGGTTGTTAAATTATTTGAATATTATGAAATATATATATCAGGTTTAGAATATTAACTCAAAATCAACTCGTAAAGTAACTCGAAATCATTAACTCGAATTTAACCAGAGGCCGCCCGAATTGCACCCCTAAATGGGAGATTAATTAAGGTATGCGAAAGTTAGTTCGAACATCGCTTACTGTTAAAAAACAGATATACAAACAAGTTAATCAAGTTCTGTATTATGTTGAGCCGTCTAATTATCATACCAAAAAGTAATTATTTAAAATTATACCTTTTTTTTTCTTCAACAAAAATGCAATACCTATAAAGATTATCTATTTGTTTTTTTTTTTTTTTTTTATAATCAATGGTCACAAAATAATCAAAAGAAGATCTAAGCTAAAAAAACGTTTGAAGGTTTAGTACCAATTTTTTTTTTCAGTGCCACCTTTAGTCTTATCCTATGTTGAAGGTATCAGTTCTATTTGTTTCTACTTTGATTTCCAGTGAAAGCCAAAAAAAACTGATTTTTATCTTCCAAATACTGCCAACATGGCCAGATCTATAATAATTAAATCCACAATTTGAACTTCATCAATTTTTGTTAACTTCGCTTTTCAAAAAGTGCCGTAGATTGTTACTTAATTCTCCAACACTTCCACCAACATCAGCACTACAGAACAAAAAAACCAGTATTGCACTCTGCAACACCATCTTCTCCTCAATAGGCTTTTGACTTGCTCAATTCCTTCTTACAAAAACCAACAGATGCAATAAATAAGCAAAACTTCTAATAGGAAGGGCAACAGCTAAAGAGTGGTGACCATGGCTTTTATAATCAAAACCCACAAATAAGTATAAAAAATCATGGACTCATCACATCTTCAATAGCAGTTTTCACCATACTTTTTTTAAACCACATTGGAACTATCCTCGGTTCAGTTTCTGTTAGATTTCTGCAAACCTTCATCATGGCAGATCATATATAGCCATAACAAAGCTAAATAGTCTTGTATCAATTAGCAATGCTTAAAGAACTATGAAAAAGAACACATATACATGATTACACTGCATGTGTTATCGATCCAAGCAACAGAAAAGTCATCCATGATTACACAGTGTGACAACTAAAATTTTACGCCAAAGCAATAAGTAAAAGAACTACTGAAAAATTGCTTGGACAACAAACAGATTGTTTTTTTCCAGATTCTTTGACCCTGAGCCAAGACAATGGAACACCACTCATCAGCTGATGAGTTTAGTTCAAAGACTCATCCAATAACATACAACAAATTTTTCTCTCCCTTATCAATTGACAGCTGCAAAAGGAGTTCTGTTTGGTGATGCTCCTAAACATGCCTGCATTTGCTGCTTTGAATTTTTGCTATCAGTACCACTCCATGTGGGTTTCTTCTCTGAAGTAACCTCAAAGGCTGGTGTTCTTATCTCCTCAATGGAAGTCAGGCTGGGGACTGGTATTACTCTCCTCTGTGGAGTCATATTAGTATGCTGATCAACCTGTTTAAAATCACATGATCAGTTAAATTAAACGAGTTACAATTACTCACATAAAATTCCAATTTGTGCTTAATACTTGTGAGGATCCATATATTTTACAGATAATTGAAAGATATGACTAAGACAAAAGGTACATAAAATCATATTCCTCCTGCTCAAAGATGTAGTCTAGCATACCAAATAATCTTTCCTGAGACACTGCTCTGCTCTGTTTCGGATATTTGTTATGCTTCCACTGTGGTTCTCTCGTAAAGAATTGAGCTGATCCAAGCAGATGGTAGAAATGGAGTCTAGTTCGTTCTTTGCTTCATGGTCCAACTTCAGAGAATCTGCAAGTTTGTGCAAATTATAAGGTGGTTGCTGTCTAAGGAAAGAAAGAATTTCTTATTTTATGCAGAAGCAATCATTTAGAATACCATTAATAGTTGTCAGCACATCACAGGTTTGGGCTTCAAATTCTGCGTCCATAGTTGAGGAAGTGCAGACAAATTGATCATGTGCGGCTTGATTTGCACAAACTTTTTCCCTGTAATGGAGAGACAATAACAAACGTAAAAAAACAGAAACATAATTCATTCAACAAGCCAAGAAGCAAAATCACTTACTTCACAGCAGATTTTATCTCTGCAAAACTGCTCTTGTTGAGATGGTTGATGGATGATTGTGCATTTTCCCAATGCTTCCCAGAATAATCCAACTTATTTGCACTGCACAATTCAAGGAGTTAAATTTAATGAGCAGTAAAATAATTGAAGTCCACAGGTTGACAGTCATCCCACATTCTTGACACTATAATCCAAAATCCTAATGATACTCGTTTCATCTGATAATACTGTTAAAATGTTTGGATTTATTCTTCTAAAATTCCATTTTTTGTTTAATAAAATGCCACAGGTAACAACACTGCCTTGTCTGGTTTAAAGGGTAGTACTTCCACTTCGACATATTTGGTTTTTGGGCTGCTTCCTATTAACTCAATTTTTCTGCTGTAATTTGTTTATGCAGGCTTTTTCATAAAATCGTATAGCCAGGCTTTTTCAAAACACTATTGCTCTAGTTTCCACACCCTACCCTACCAAACCCCTAGGCTTGGATTGGAATTATTTTGAGCAATGTAAGTGGATGAATAAAAGCCTACCATTCCTGGAGGCAATTTTCCATTGCAGCTTTGCATTCAGCTGATGTGAACGTTTCTTCTAAGAACCGACTTTTAACCTCCTCTCTGTATCCATTCAACTCCCTCTTTGCATCAACTGAAACTTGCTGCATCTTGAACAGCTCTTGCAGCAATCTCTTATTCTCTTGTACACTTGTGTCCTGGATGTTCTTAGAGGTTTTAGACACCAGAGCTGTTTTCTTAGCTGTTAGAGTTGCTAATATTGCTGCAATGTTTTCCATAGCCAGTTTTTCTTCTCTAACAGCCTCTTCCTGGATAACAAGAAAACCAAACTGTCATCAGACTTCAAAATCCCCTTGGTACAAGTAAAAAACGAATTACATTCAGAAGGCTACTTGACCTTGAACATCTCCTCAAAAGTTGCTATATGGTGGGATTTTTCAATTAGAATTTCTTCAAGAACTGTCATCATCTCATAAATACGCTGATTAAGGTCATTGAAGAAATCAGTTGTTGCCTTCGAAATCACTTGTGCTGAAACCAGACTTCGGTGTAATCCCTACATCAACGAGGATTAAAGTCAAAATTAAAATCATAGAAAATACTAACCCATCCAGAAAACAACAAATTGACCTACCTCTTCCTGTTGTTGAGCGAAAAAAGCCATCAGCTGTCGTTGCTCATTTAATGAACTCTGAATGTCACAATTTACATCCTTAGCCTCCAAAACTGCTGTTTTAAGAAACTGTGAATAAACAAAGCATCATATGTGAATCATTGTAAAACCTCCATCAGCAATACTTGCAAATAAGGTTAACTTAGATTTCATACATTCTCGACTGCAGTTATTTGAATTAAAACTGTTGACTTCATTTGCTCCAGATCAGAAGAAGCTTTTTTTTGCAGTGTGTCCGCAAGCTCCTTCAGGGCTGCCACTCCTGAAGTGTATGTCTCTGTCATTTTCTTAATCCGTGATTCCATGACCTGAGTTACCTGGTGGATAACAATAAAAGTTAAGTAATGAATATTGAACTCACAATGCTCACATATAGTTGAAACTCTCAGCTTTAATGTCTTACATCACATTTACTAGCAAAAAATGAGCCAACATGCTCTTCCATGCATCTTAGTTGTTGCTGTTGATGGGAGACTGACCCCAGAATGGTCTTGTGAAGGTCTTTTAAGCTTTGATCAAGCTGTGAACCAAATGTGAGAAGTAGACCTTGGTTTTGTGCTTCCAATCTACTTTTTTGATCTGTAACCATTCATAATGTTAGTTGGATACTTGAAAGCAGTCCAGTTTCTGTGTAGGGCATATATACACTAAAGGAGCATAACAAATCAGTGCATAAGATTCTTCTTGTTATCCAGTTTTCAACTTTTCACCTACAATATATCGAAGTCCCGCTGAACCTTAATCCTCCTACTCAAATTACTTCGGCGTCAAAAGACCATGTTACATTTGCATAATTCCAATTAAACAATATTAGAAGAATAAAATTTAGTAAACACGGGATAAACACTGTTATATATTAACAAAAATGATTGGTAAGCTGCATCTCTATAAATCGATCATGGTTATGAACACAGACAAGCTCCCCTCCCCTCACCAAAAAAAAAAATACACATGTACCTATTTTTGCGAATAGAGCAACTATGTCCTCCGATGCATTGTGCAAATTGGCCCGCAACTCCTTCGCACATTCAATCAGACAACTTTCTGTTGACAAAAATTCAGCATGTCAGAATAAATCAGCATATGCAGATTGGGGCGCCTTTTGTGTTATTGAAAATTTTCTTTTACCCGAATGTAGCAGTTTGGAGATGATAAATTCTTTCTCTTTCAGCGTTGATATGGCTACTTTGTGATTCTCTTGGAGATTTTGCAAGGCCTTGTTGCTATTTTCTAGATTTACCTGAAGAATATAATAACTCAGATAAATGCCCGTAAAGAAATTAAAGTAAGGTTAATATCCTTATACTGAGCCAACTGCTTATACCTTGCAATCCCTGAGCTCGGATTCAAAGTTTAATTTCTCTTCTTGTTCAGTTTGATAGAGCTCACGATATTTCTCAACTTGCTGCATGAATTAAACAGGTCAGTCAATAGATAGATACATGCATATCAGGTGATGCTAGTCTACAAAAAAGAAAGTCAGGGATTGCAAGGTATAAGCTAGTAGTACCTTATCACTGACGTTTAAATCAATCTCTAACTGCTCTATCTTCTCGTTCTTTGCCTGCACGATGTTGCAACTTACACATTTAAAACTTGAATATTAATCTCCATTGTAATAAAAAAGAAGTTTTTGGCACTTTTTTGGTTGCGGTTATCCTATAAGCAATATAGGACATGAATTTATTCAACAGGATTAGAAAATTTCACCTAATCCGTAAGTCATAACTGCCCACTCTTGTTATTTGCGCATGTCTGCTATCAAGCATATAAAGAAGGAAGCTACGAGGGACTTCTAGGAAATATACCTTTTTTTCAGCTTCATCCAGTACAAATCTTTCATGTGGAATATACACACCATTCTTTTCCCTTGCTGCTCGAACATCTGCTTTGATTTCAATATAGAAGAAGACCTATTATCTGGTTTTGAATTTTATCACACCACAACAGAGAATGCAGGTGCACTGTCAAACCTTGTTTCATTCTGTCTAGTTCCAAGTACAGATCCTTGAGCAGAATGGCCTTGGACATTTTTTGGTTTGCCTGCAAAGATAAGCTTCATTAAGCTCAAAGACTGACGATAACATATGAAAGGAAACTGTAAATGATGCAAAAGGAACAGCAATATGACCTCTGGCTTGTTTTTTATGTTTTTAGCACGATATGCATAATCGAGTGTGCTTAAAGTTTCATCCAAACAATAAGCAGATGGAGAAATTGTTGCAATGATGCAAGTTTTTGTTTTCCCTCCTAGTGAGTCTCTTAGTAGCCTTGTTAGCTTGCTATCCCTACAAAAACCAGAACAAGGATATTACAAAAAAAAAGAGAGTCAAAATCCACTTCATCTATTACAGACATTGAAGTTACATGCCATCGGCACAAACCTGTAAGGCACATGAACAGTATGCTCCACCAGTGCATTTATGACACGACCCAAGGTCAGCAAGCTCTTGTTTATTTCCCCCGCTTCTCTTGCACGTCCCTGAAATAAATCACAACATTCCATCAGACCTCAATGTATTTAACACTACCTAAAGATGATTAAGTAACCAATTTGACCATCGATGCAGAAACCATATTTATTATAATCACCCAAACACGAGGAGAAGGAGTACGCTAGAAACTGTGATCACCTTGAAGTTATGTCTTCACACATATTTAAAGTTTCATTTAACAGTACTTTCATATGGTTTAGGTCAAAAGCATTCCTGTGAGAAACTGTATGGGAAGTATTCAATGTCAAGTAAAAACACTGAGAATCGTAATGATTCAAATGTGTTTCCTCTACTTGTTTTAACAAAAAAGCAATTAGAATGAATTCATTGAAGAAGATGGCTGAATGTAGCCAACCAGAAAGGAAATGGAAATTAACTCTGCCTTTTGGAATGCAAGAGTTCTCTATACATAGGAGAATTATCCAGACTTTGAGTGATTGTTACACTTGAATAAGTGACAGATACTTGGAATGAGGATAGATAGGCAAATCTTAGGCTTGAAATTTTCAAGTGCTCCTGTGGGTTATTTTCTTTTGACTTGACATTTTTATGCTTTCATTTGCTCTTAAATGCGGTTTAAATCCACTCCAAAAAAATATCTTATTGTTTGATTCTAATTTTACTTTTATGCATAGTTGTTAGTATCGTACGATACGGAGGTAAAACGATACAATTTGCATACAAGATTTGGCCACTTTTATCCCTGCACAGATTATGAGAGTTCCTAGATTCAGAAAAGGGGTCGCATTTGCAATATATAATTCATCATGAGTGTATGTTCCCTTCTTCTGAAAAATTGCCATGCATCTCATCCGGATTCAACTTAAACATATAATCAACCAAAACAATTATCCAACAGCATAACCTGAAATTATTTAATACCTCCCGTGCACCTGAACGAGAAATATTCTCTGAGCCTGCCAGATCCACAAGATTAAGCTTGCCACATTTAATGAGCTCCTCGTCGCCAACCGCTGTTTCTTTCACATGAACAGTTATGGTGAACACAGAATGAGAACGACTGCAGCAGAAACATCAAATTAGTTCCGATATGGCTTCTTCTAGATTAGATATCCATGTAAATTGCCACCATACCTGCTGCGTTTGTTTAACAAGGTGTCTGCTGTACGCCTTTTGGCTGCCCCTCGTTCCAAGAGGTTGTAAATTTCATTTGCGCTATATACGGCTTCTTCTTCAAGGCCTCTTACAATGACACAACCTTTTCCATCCTCCATCAAGGAGATAGGCTTCTTTTGCCTTTCCTCAGATGCTCTTGAATAGTCTTCGGTAGCTAGCAGATCAGTTATTTCTTCATTATAAAGTTCCAAAAATGTGACTTTCATACTGTAGTCAGCATTTTGTGCCTCTAGTGTATCAAAAATTTGACGGACTGCTCTTGGAATAACACCCGAGTCTGCAGGCAGTTCACCACCCTATAGCAAGTGATGTACAGCAAAGTTATGGGACAGCGGAGAAAAATGCAATCACTCTAGTTCACAAAATAAAAATCACTATTTCCTTACCTTATTTCTCATTCCTCCCTCCATTGTATATGTTTTACCAGTGCCTGTTTGCCCATAAGCAAATACAGTGCAGTTGAAGCCATCAAGGACTTCATTAACAATTGGGACAATGGCTTGGTCATATATTGATCTTTGCTGTGCTTTAGGCCCAAAAACCTTTCAGATGTTTCAAACAAGATTAAAATATGGATTATCACGTATTAATTGAAGAACATATTGGACCTGAATAATCATGACAGAGGGAAAAGCTTACCTTGTCAAAGGTGAATACTCTATCTACTTGCTTGTTAGCTACACTTTGCAAAACAGTGACCTCTCTTTTGTGTTCATTGCATGTTATCACCCTTGGGACATTTAACCTTTGCTCATCTTCGTTTAGTGGCCTAAGCATTGCAATCAAATAAGAAATTATTAAGAATATAAATATGTAATATTTCTTTGTTAAGCCTATAATTTACCCTGCTCAACTTGTAATAGTGTACACACCACAAGCGGCCAGGCTGGGCATCCAATCCTTAGCCACATGCTTTGATGTAAAACATGTATGTTACAATGCTTTGCTTCTCAAGATGTCTAGCATTACATGACTAAGCAGAGCGGCGTACAATAATTAAGGATGATTACATAACTGTGTCAAAACATCCCCATCCGATCTTGTTGCAAGTAGAGCTTCACAATATTTCCATTGTCTCACATGGGAACAAGGATTTTTCAAAATATTAGTAGCTTCTATAGAAACAACCCAAAAGCCGAAACCTAAACCCCAATTCATTCATGAAATACGGAAATCACTCCCAAAAAAAGATCAAATTCAGTGAATTCTCCATAAATTTCCAATCCACTTCCTTACGGTCAGAAACCCTGCTAGCTGCTAACCCAACATACAAAACCTCAAATAGTTCCTAAACTAGAAAACATTATAGGCACACTACAAATCACACTCTAATCCTTGTTGCAATCCAGAACTACTCAAAAAATATACTTAAAAATCAGAAAGAACAAGAAAAAGATTCGTATAAGCAGAGCTGGAATGTATCCGTACCTCACTCACAAGAGCATATCAGAAAGTCCAAAAAAGTTTATCTACTATGGTCATATAGGAATGTGTGCAAACGTGTGCTTAGATTAACCATAATACACAAGACTTTACCCTCATAAAGATTTGAAGAAAAAAGCAAAAAGATCTTCAATACCCACCTGCATCTGAGCAAAACTTGCACATTAACCTCTTGATCTTTGTCCTGCCTACTTGAATTCCATTCAATCCCTCTTGAACTCGGCCGACGCCTCTCGGGTCTTGGTGTGAGAAACGGCGATGGAGATGGCGCCAACCCCATTCCCACTTTCCGAAATTGGTCCGGAGTCAAAGACATCATTCTCTAATCAATCAAAACCAAATAACACATATTAGAACCCCAAAACAAATAACAGAATGCTTCATTAAAATGTACTGCGAATGATCTTACTGAATTGTTGGTATGAAAAGACTGAATATTCGTCACAGGATTTTTGAGGAGTATGCTCAGAAAAAAGGGAACTTTTTAACTCACTAGAATTTCTTTGTTTCTCTCGCTAGTTTTTGTGTTCACAGCGTTGAGGTTGAGAGAGAGAGAGAGAGAGAGAGAGAGAGAGAGAGAGTGCAGTAATTTTCTAACGGCTACTCTGGGGGTTTAAGGTATTTCCGTATTTGTAATAGAAGATAGCCGTTGAAGACACGCGGAGGTAATGTACCCTTTTTGAAAACGTGTGCCTGGGGCCCATTTAGTGAAAATTCAAATGTGAGGCGCCTTGGCAGATTTGTGCTTTGAAGCGTAAAAGGTAAGACTACAAGCCTATAAATAAATCTAGATTTGGTGGTGAATAGTTTTATGGAAGTAATGGGTGACCATTAGACAAAGTTATTAAATAATCGATATCCAAAAAGAAAATAAGTCTTTTAATGATCCAATTTCGTAGATGAGAAAGAATAGAATTAAGGGTATGTCCGACCTAAACTTTTAGGTCAGAGTCAAAGGAGATGAACTATTTCAAGTAAGGATGTTATTTTTGAATTTTAATATTATTTATGTGTCAATCTCATTTTGAATTATATATTCGAGTGTATTGAATGTATGAAATAGATTAAGAAGTTGTTTATCTTCAAATTTAAAGATTGAGTCATAATAATCCGTAATAGTCTACTATCTCTTTTAGTTAATCTTTATTATAATACATAAAAAGCAAAACTCCATATTCCGAAATTGTTTAGCATGCCTTCCCCTTTAAATACTTGCTTAATACCCTTACATACATAATCTCCCTATCTCTGAGCTTTCTCACTGCCCCATACCAACTCGTATTACACACTAGACATGCACCATTGAAAGTGATGGGATATTTCTGAGAATTAACAAGGAGTTGATACGTGTCCTCGACATAAGGAACATGGGGTGCTTCCTCTAGTGACACATATCTTCGGCATGAGCAACCTCGGCTCTGTCTATGAGTGACACGTGTTCTCGACGTAAATGTACCTCGGACACTACATACATTGACACATGTCCTCAACTTGTATTCCGTGGGGCTTTTCGTGACTAACGCATGTCCTAAGCGTTGATAACCCCAGAGCGTTGTTATGATGACGCGTGTCCTCAGTGTGCCTAACACCCTGAGGTCTCCTACTAGACACATCACCTCGGCTCTAAAACCCAACATATGGCTGGCGGAATTGACGATTATCGTGACTTGTAGTCAAAATTGGTCAATAATTATTGATTCTCCTCTCCAAGGCAATCAGAATGGTAGAAAAAGAACAGGTTAGTGATCAATAATAATGACGCACGAGGTGCAGAGCGCAGAACAGAGAGTCAAAAGACAAAGGCACCCCTATTCGTGCGTAACCATCACAAGGAAACATTAAATGATTATTCATAATGATGTGATGCATTTATTGCTCGACAAATTCCAGGAGAAGAGCATTAAATGCTCGGAGATCCGAGTATTAAATGCAGAAGCTTCCTTCTGCCTAACAAGGAAGACACTTTGACCAAGGATTGTGCTCCTCAGGTCGCCTGCCAAAATGGGCCAATGAGGGGCTTCCTCTCCAAGAGACTCACCTGTCCACAATGATTACTTTCATGAAGGTATAAATAACTCTCACAAATTCAAAATAAAGGTACACACACTCTCACTCAAGTGACAGAACAGTAAATTCTCACCCCCTCTCTCACATACTGACTTGATAGTCAGAGGAATCACGTCGAAAAATATTCTGGCGTCCTTCTAACCTTCCGTTTTGAGTGACAGAGTTCATCTCGATACGCCGAGAACGTTCAAACTATTGAAAAAATAATTCATTGCTACTCTTTATACCATTTCTCACTTCCATTTGCCACGAAATCGACTTTCCAAGTAAAACTCATATACATTATGGATAAAATTTGTCTATTTATTTATTGTGCAAGAATCACCGCGCACACAAATTTGAGTTAATTGAACTGTTTAGAATTATTGAAATGCAAGGGTCGTACGTCACTGAAATTTTAACTTGGTCTATCAGTCACTTTTAACTTGGTCTATCAGTCACTTTTAACATGAAAGAACCCATAAAGATTGCATTCAATTCTATATTGACGTGACTATAATCTCTGACGTCAAATGGAATGAACAAGTTATAAAATTCATCCTTAAAAACCCGACTTACATATGTCCAAGAAGGTCACATTTCCAACGACTTCGTTTCTTGGCACTCTTCAAATGGTTAGAAGCAAGTAGGATATTATTTCAATGGCGTTTGACAGCAATTCATGTAAAGCAGCAACTAGTAGACAATGCCGAAGCTAATTGTTCTGGAATGAAAATATAGGGTCACATCAATCTGGTCAGTGAATCACATATAGTTCTGTACAAGTGGATGGAAAATACTGCTATCTGAGAAAGGTTTGAAAACACAATACAATGCCTAGTCCGAGTGGCTATGGGTGGCCTCCAAGTGGTTCACTCTCTCCTCCTGATCTTGAGATTCCAGCAGAGCACGGGTCTTCTCATTCCCCGTGACCAAATAAACTCGAAAATTTAGCAGAATAGACAGTTTAATTGTGGTAATAATAACGTAAAACAGTATTTCGTTTTTCAATAATTGAGAACAGAAACACAGAAAAATTACACGGAGTTTCACTCGATTTAGTGAAGTTTACACTGTTGATTCTCCTCCCTCCGAAAATCATTTGATGGGTACTTAGAGGGAAACTGATCCGTAAAACACAACCTCAGCTGGGCCAGTCATGTATACATGGTTGTCTTCCTCCCTCCATTCGATCTCCAAAGGCCCTCCAGGCAAATCAACAGTACAAATCTGTTTCACAAGAAAGACGAGGACAAACAATGAAACCAACAAAAATAGAGGTGAGGACAAGTAGGAAGTGGTGAGCAGTTCAGAAACCACAAGGAAACGTTATCATCACGCTATTTTTGTTTTCTATTTCATTTTCAGCAGTTACTGTACAGATCCATAAAATAAAATGGGGGCAGCAAAAAATAAATAATTGACTGGTCAACATGTAGTGATGAAACACAGAAGTAGCAATTGTCTCTTGAAACCTTAAGAGGAATGATATGATATCTTTATGTATATAACTGTAATCTGAATCATTGGGAAAATTAGGCCATGTTTGGTTCTCATCTCGGAAATAGTTTTTTGTTCTCAAAATTTCCAAAACACCCAAAATCTATTTGTTTAGCATTTTTGTTCTCTAAATTTTGGGAAAAAATGAGATTTGAGTCAAAGAAACAGAAAACAAGTGTAGCTTATTTTAAGAGTTTTCTTTGAAAATTTTGGAAACAAGAAGAACAATATATATATATATATATATATATATATATATATATATAGACGTTTATATATATATATAAATAAATATATATATATACACGTATAAATGTATATATTTATTTATTCAGTTATATACATATATATACATATATTTATACATGTATATATAAATACGTATATACATTTATATATATGTATAAATATACGTGTATATATATAAATAAATATATGTATATTTATTTATATGTATATATATGAATTTGTATACGTACATATTTATATATATAAATACGTATATATATATATATATATATATATATATATATATATATATATATATATATATATATATTTTAAAGTTTGGTTATTGAATTTTTTTTTATGAATTTGTCAATCTAAAAATAATTTTTTTATATTTTTTTATTATTGTTTGAATTACAATTCAAATATATATTTAGGTTGTCCAAACAAGTTTTACTATTTTCTGTGTTGTAAAATTATTTTTGAAATCATCTAACCAAACAAGTTTTTTATCTTAAAAAATATCAAAACTACTTTCTCAAAACTCTTCTCAAAAACTGTTTTCGGATGCTATTTTTTAAAACACAAACCAATAAGGCCCTTATATTTACTTTCACTCTTTCAAATCCCATTGCATGATTGCCATAGAATTAAACTTACCCGCCCAGCACGACCCTCAAGAACTGCTGCAACAAGTACTGCACAGGCTCCAGTCCCGCAGGCTAGCGTTGCTCCTACAGTTGCATCCAGTTTAAGCTTCATGGTTGAGCAATTAAGAGGAAAATGGCAGCTTGCAATACCACCAAAAATGGCTCAAAGTTTTCCAGGGCAGTAAATTGCATATATTCATGTAAGCAGTCATGTCTCAAAATAGCAATACTAACCAGCCCCACGCTCCCAAACACGCATTTTTAGTTGTGAAGGAGAGAAAACTTGAACAAATTCTGCAATATGAGACCGTTAAAAATTAGTAATTCAGAAAAGTATACCCAAAGGCAAATTAAAAGTCGCACTTAATGTCGAATTCCTTTTTTTGGTACTGGGGAGATTCAATCCCATGATTGGGAGGAGAAAGCCACCTGATCCAATTTCTGAATCAGCTATATTAAAGCACCGATTATGTGCAAGTGATCCAACGAAAAGCATAACCATCTCTCATCTCTTCAGGACAAAATCAAGGTTTGGAAGAAGCCTAAATGTTGGTTTTAACATCACTTAAAGACACAGCTTACAAAAAAAAGCAAGCCTTCTCGTGACTCATGAGTAAACTTTGCAAGCACATTCCAAATATGTTGAGATGACTGCAGGCTCGGGACAGCTTTGAATGGAACATTTTACCCATAGTCAAATCCTTTCATGAACATGCAGAGCAGGGTTTGAAACATGAAAGATAAGAGCCTTAAGAAGTTTCAAACATCCACATAAATGCAACAGAACAAACATTACAAAAAAAAAAAGAAGTAAAATGGGAGGCACTAACTGAAATGAATGTGTTCTAGATATTCCATTGAGATTATAATTGGACCTATGTTCTTATCTCGCCAACCCAAAGACATAACAAGCTAAACTAATTGCCAAATTGTTGAAATTTGAAGGTCAAAACACAAACTCAGGCATGATTAAAAATATAGACCCACCATAAAGAACTGAAAACCAAAAAAATATTGACAACAATTCACAAAATTTGAAGAGTTATAATACATGTCTCCCCATATAGGCTCCTTTGGACATATACTTGTGTGTGTGCGTGTGTGTGAGAGAGAGAGACACCGAGAGACGCCGCATAAATAAAAATGGACCTGTGTTAGTTCGGGCAGGGAACATTGCATGATTTTCAAATTTCGGGCCAATTTCTGCTAATTTCAATTCATCGATCTGCAAATTCTGTATGATAACAAGCAAGAGACAAGCAACAAGATCAGCAGATGTTTGAAGGAAAACAATTAGGTCTTAACAAATTTATCTTTTTTTTCGCCACATGTATATATGTCGTTGTTCAATCATTTTTCCCCCATTATTAGAAGAAAACATCAAAAAACACAATGCCACTCACTGCCAAAAGGCAAAGTAGCAAAAAAATTACCATCCAATCAGTTAAATATATAGATCTGTTCCCAAGGACCAGGTCCCAGGGTTTTCCAGAACAGTGTATGTCTGTCTATAAGAAGTTTTTGACAAACTAGGTGCACTTAATATCCAACGAGTCCTAAAATTGAAAAAGAAAACTACTAACCTGGTTTTCCTCGACGCCAAAAGTAATGCAGTGGGGGTTTCCAATGCTAACGCAAGTTACATTCCATGTTACTCCATCTACATCTAGTTTTGATTTTACAACAGAATCAGCTTTATTTGCAGGTAATTTTGTGGGAACATCTGATGCCTTCAGTATGGGTTCACCCATATCAACTCTAACCTGAAATCAAAACATGCAATTCTGATCAACCTATGGTGAATTACTAATGCCCTAAGTTAGTTGGTTATGTTTGTAAAGAAGTGCTAATGCTTAACAAGGTCATAGGCTCCAAAGCATTCTGAACGACACCGAAAGCAATGTCAAAGGACATAACCTGCATAAAGTACATTGTGAAATGTATGCAAGAAACCAAGCTGTAGTACCTTCAAAAATAGACATTTATAGAAAAAACTGTCTGAGAAAGATATTAGGGATTTTTTGATAATTACAACTAATGAATAAATGGTCTCTAATGGCAACCATCTAATAAGTTATATACAGTATACAATTTACAGTTAAGAACTCAAAAATAAAAATTTCAAACAGAAAAAAGCTAAAATATAATAACTTCAATGTTTGATGCAATGAAGAAACCACATGACAAAGCCCAAATGTATGGACTATGGACAACAGACCAAGAATACCTTTCCGTCCTCTTGAATTTCAGGAACAATTAGACCAGCTCCAGTATGTACGGTAAAACTGCATAATTTAAGTAGCAAAAACAATAAGACATCCCTGTGGCATATAGTGTACAAAATCAACTTTCAAGGAGGAAACACAAGGTAATAACTTATTATTGCTCCCTTTAAAAATGCTTATTATTTGAAGTTTTGAACCTATAACTGATATTTTTAAGTGAAGGAATAACACAGGCTTCAGAGGTAGATATTTTTCTCGACTGATCCATGCAAAATGGGAAATATCTTTCACACATTAGTGTCCCACAGATGACAGCCACGCCCTTGGCACAGATTGTAACGGCATGGGGTCAGTCAGAGTTATTTCCTTGGTTTAGTTCTTGCCTAGGCAGCATATAACGAAGGCAGTAAAACTGAATGACTGGCTAAAGCAAGACATGAACAGAAAACGCTCAAAATTTAGCAATGCCTTTGAAATTTAACTTTTAACTAAAGTCCATCACCATAAGCAAGACTTGGAAACTAGTAGAGCAAGACAGAGGCATCACGGCCAAGCCTCAATGGTGTTGACAAAACATGTAAGCAATAAAGCCACAAGAAGAATGTCAAGGATTTAACTCAGCAGCACTTCATTTGAACGAAACAACAAAATGGAGATGGCTAAAGACCACACCTTTGCTTCCCATGTAAATTATCAAGCTCAGCAATATATCTGGCAAAGCAACGGACCCCATTACCACACATCTACAACAACAAAAATGAAAATTTGTTAACAACCAAGTATATAAATTAAAAAGCTAAACCACATTGAGACCAATTGGACAGATAAAAGCGGCCATACATGCACTACACTTAACCCTCACAAAGATATTGACAGATGACAAGCATCAAAGTTGGAGCACAGAAAAAACCATGTTGACTATCAAAATCGGAGAATCAAAAAAATTACATTAAGTAATATTTGCTAGGCATTCAGACCTTTTAAAGGACAAAAGATGAGAGTTTTCGAGAAAAGTTATATAACCTCAGGCTCACTACCATCAGAATTAAAAATTCTCATTGTATAATCGGTGCCATTGATCCCTGGCATCGCGAATATCACTCCATCAGCGCCAATGCCGAAGTTTCGATCACATAACTTCACAGCTTGCTCCGGTGTGATCCTGGGCTCCATAGAATCTCGATTATCCACCTATTCGAACCCGAGCTCACAAAATGAAGAATCAGTCTCAAACCAAACACAAAAATACGAGTCAACAAAATTGAGAGAGAGAGAGAGAGAGAGCAATGAAGAAAGGAAAAGGGTTTTGTTATGCTGCCAAGACAACATATAACAAGAGGAAATTCACAGAAACTAAAAACGTCACACAAGCAGCAATAATCTTCCAAAATGTTAGCTAAACAAAATGGCAAAATCTCACAACTTTGATTTCTGTTCTTTTCTTACATTTTCTTAGGGGCCAAACAGTACAAATTTAAGTTTTCTTACCAAGATAAAGTCATTGCCGAGACCATGGTATTTGACAAAATGAAGAAAGCCACTTTCTTTCCGATCGAGAAAAGAAGCTGCAGAGGCTTTCTCTGGCGCTTCGACGCTCATTGAAGAAGCAGAGATAATGCTAAAACTAGGGTTCCGAATAGAATTAGAAATTAATTTGTGCGTTTTTGTCTGAAGAGGAAAACAAGAAGAATAGGATCGAAATGTATTTGAAAACGAAGAAAGAGAGCGGCGAGAAGGAGTTGTGAGAGGAACTGAAATGGCGGCGGCTATGGCCATTGCGTCGTCCTCGTCCGTGACTCTCTCTCTCTCTCTCTCTCTCTCTCTCCGTGCAGTCAAAGGCGACTGTTAAAAGGTTCAACTAGGTTGTGAACATAGAACAGGCTTGGTGAGGATGGAAATGGAGGGAACCGGAGTGGTAAGTGGTAACGGACTTAAACTGGGCGTTGACTCATGGATTTGGTCTCGGGTAACAGATGATTTTTCCCGATCCAACCCTATGGGGGTGTTTGGATTGTGGGTTAAGGTGGGTTATCACATGTAGGACTGGATATTAAATCCTGACCCGGACTGCAGAATGACTTTAAATCTGAATATTATATCTTCTTAATACGAATCTTTCTATCTAATATTACATGTGAGAGTTGAATTCTTAATTTATAAAAACGCAATAACGATTAAGATTAATTTAATTTTTATTTATTTTAATTCAATAATATAAATTTTATCCCAAAAAAAAAAATTCACTAAAAAATTCAATACTATAATTTTTATTTATTTTAATTATTATTTACAATATAAATATTACATTGTTCAAATTTTTATATTAGTATATTATATTCACATACATAATATTCTATTCTTATTGTTTTTAAATTTTTTATTATTTTATTATATTTTTCTTGATGATTAGAGATCATTGAAATCAAAATTAAGGATCCAAATTATTTTTTATATGGTACAATAGAATTGTCGTTGAAAAAAAGAAGTTATCTTTGATTGTGACTACTCGGTAGTAACTACTATATTACACAATTTCCAAGACCCTTTTCATATCTTTTAATAGTTTCAGTCAATTATTTCAATAATCATAACTTGAACAAGTTTGTGAAAAAACTCACCACAATACAAAAATCATGGGAACAAAATTGAAGCAAGAACCATCCAAAAAATTGAGCATTTGTTCATTTTATTGTTCTTATGACATTGTTTTCATCGAAGAGCAGACACACACACAAAAGAAACAGGAGGAAAGGACAGAGTCTAGATCTAGAACAGTAAAGAGTAGCCACTTTTTGGGCTTTTGTCACTGTTTTTCTCTTCTGTTAATACAAAGAGTAATCCTTGTTTGGAAGGGATGCCACCATACTTTCAGGCTGGAACCTTTGAAACCGGTTTAGATGACATTGAGGAATTTTTGCAACAGACCATGAACGATTCTCCGGTGATGTAACAGTCACTGTCTCGAGCAAAAGTGCCTTATGAAGCAAAAGATCCATTAAAAGTAATTGATCCTCTTCACTTGTAAAACCAGCCATCTTAAAAGTACTTAGATGTTTGAGTTGAGAAGCATTGCATTTCACAGTTGCATAGTTCATACATAAGTGAGGCTCATGCCAGTATTGCTGAAAATAGGGGCATGGCATTGGACTACTACAGTTTTCGTCGATCTGCATATTTAGAAAAGCCAGAAAAAAAAATTAGTGCACGAATTTGAAGCATTGCTAGCCATGGAAGTTGTACGAGAAAACACTCACATTGACAAACAACTTCTCCAAGAAAGGTGTCGCATTTAAGAAGCAAGCAAGCGAATCACGCATTCCTCTATCCATCACAGTGCATATACAACATAATTCCTTCAACTTGTTGAACTGGAATTCCAGCAGTCCAAAGATCACCCCTGCTGTACACAACCACTGATAATAGCCCATGTCAGAAATCAATGGTGCATGAACTAATGATTTAACTGGAAATGGAAATAACAAAAACAAATCGATTCATTTAGTAACAATGTTGAAGGGGGTTTCCAAACTAAATAAAAATACCTCAAGAAGCCAGAAGCCAGCTTATAGTAAGAATTTCAATGTCCTTGACACAGTCTAGAAAAGAGAGGGCATCCTCAACATCAAACTCGTTTTGGCCCGAACCATCTTTCAAATTGAGTATCATATCAACCAAGTGTGGAGTGTTCTTCAGCTGAAAGTTTGAAAGAACTCCTCTGTACCAAAAGGATTTAAGGTTAGATGCAGAAAGTGATATACTAATTACGTTTGTACAATCCACCATCACAAAGCTTCGGAGACAGTCACTTGCTTTGATACGGATATCTTGTAGTCCACTGCATTTTTCAAGGGTTAAACTCTCAAGAAACCGACAACTAGAGAACAAGGTTGACACAAAGTTCTCTGCGAGGTGGGCGATTGATCTAAGGTGGAGAGACTTGAGAGAAGAAAAGTCAGTTCTCTGCATAGAATGAATATTTTTCACCAGAATTCAAACAACTTGAATCAAGTACCAAATTGAAATCGCGCATCGTTTGCTTTCCTTTAGAGAAGTCAAGGTGGAGCTCCTTATCGACTCTCTTAACAACCATAATAAAAACTTCATCCATAACTTCTGAAGACTCTATATCCATCTTGGAAGAGCTGATATGGAGTTTCAATGGTTGAGGAGTATCATGAGACCTTAATAACACACCCATGGCTTCCTTTATCTTCTCACTAGCTTCATGACTTGTCACCTGAGCTGAATCCAACTGCAAAATTACTTGTAATGGTGCCCATAAGCTCCTCCATTTAGTTGAAAGAATGCTAGTTCTTACTGCTTCTTTCAAAGGGACAAATGAAACAATGAGTAGCTTGATTTCGGATGGTAAGCCGCTGATCATATCAGGACATTCCTCCATGAATGGTTCACTGTAGCTTCAAAGATCATACACAAAAGTAGTCAAACTAAATCAACTTATATCAAACAGCTTTACACTACCAAAGATGACTGTGTCCCTTAGGAAGCTGTTGACTGTGACATGTTCAATGCAGGCCGTTAGTATCCTAAGAAATTGATAGTGGAAGATATAAATTTATGAAATTTGATTGGTCAAGCTTCGTTAACAGACTTTGCAAACAAGACCGTTGATTTGTCAGCATGTTGATTACAAACCGTTGATTTGATTTTAAATATTTTGATAATTAAATGGGATGAAAAAAGAAGATTTACGGGGTGGAAATAATTTCACCCATTTGAATTTGTTATGGTGTTCCAATTTTAAGATCGATTTGACATATTCTTTGATTTTCATTGCTAATTCTTTTCTCTTTGTTCTAACCTGCAAAGAACTTTCTTGCCCTCCTTGCCATCACTCCTTGTTGCCATAATCCTTCATCACCACAGTCGCCCAATGAGGAACACCCGTATTCAAGCCAAAAATCATTCAAGTGGGTAAAGTGTTCAGATTCATGCCAAATGAAAGGCCTTGCAAGATTGCTCTGGTCGTGTCTTAACGGAGTGGAGCACATAGGAACATCAATTGTCTTAGAGTGAAATGTGGGGTCTTAACGGATTTATATCAAAAAATATTTTTACTCATACCCGATTCGTATCTAACAAATCGTATTATATCAGGTTCGTATCGGTATAATCCGTGTATAACTGACGTATAACGAGTCATGTTTATTTTTGAATTACTTCAATTATATCCGATTTATTTATTAATTGTGTCAAGTTGGATTAGATTCATCCATTTATTAAACAGGTAATTAAGAAAGATAGAAACTCTAAAATTTCGTGTCACATCCCTAGGAAAAAAAAACCATTTTTAAATCAGGGGCCCACAGCCAAACTGTCTTGTTAGCTTCAAAAGCCCTGTAGTCCTAATGATTTATTTCATGCATTCCTCTATCCATTAAATCATGCATTCCTCTATCCATCACAGGGCATATGCAGTATAATTCCTACAATTTGTTGAACTGGAATTCCAGTTGTCCAAAGATCACTACCGCTGTACACAACCACTTAGGCAACACATAACATCAATGCCGAAAAATGATTTGGAACATTTAGATGTGAATGAAAATAAGGAAAAACCCAATGAAAATACCTCAATATCCGGAGACAGTCATTTGCTTTGATATCAATATACTACAAGCTCACTGCGTTTGTCACGGGTCAAGCCTTCGAGAAGACAACAACTAGAGAACACGGATGACACGAATCGGGACATCCCTCCATGATTCCTCCATCAGGCTTCAAAACCAAACTGCTAAATAAAAGCAACTCAGAGAGAACTTCAATGACCATAAATGGTTTAGCAAGTAACAACCTGAATCACTTTAAATACTAATAAAAGGATGAAGCTAGATTAGAAGAAAGAGAGAATATTTTACATTTACTTTGTATCAGGTTTATATCAAGCTGATGCATATACTACCTAAAGGTGACTGTGTGTCCCCATAGGAAGCTCTTGACATGTTCAATCTAAGCCTTTATTTAAGTTATGGAACGATAAAGACTGCTATATTATGATAAAAGTATAAAAGAGTTAAATTGTAGTCAATCTAACAGACCGTTTAACTGTTAACAAAGCTTTGTTAACAGAGACTTGATCAACAAAGTGTTGAAGTGGTCATTCTTGTTGATTATGAACCGTTCATTGGTCATAGATTTGATTAGAGAATTGGGTTGAAGTGGAGATAAATTACATCATGTCTTATATATAATTCAGATGGAGAAAGAAGCGATGAGCAATCAAAGAAACAAAAAAATTAGAAGATAAACAGAAGAATTTTACGTGGTTCGATAATTTGTCTTCGTCCACGAGAGAGCGGCTGCCTTTGTTTTATTCCATTCTAATCAGGGTTACAACTTAATATATATAGATTACAATCCTAGGGCAAATCCCGAAGGCACGTGCCGCTCTCCTGCTCATATAGGTTATAACCCTAATTTGATTCGCTTCGATAACTGGCTCATTATCTGTGAACCTTGTATACCATCTCATATATCCTAACAAGAAAAAAAATAAATCACCCAAAAGAGAAATAAACAAAGAAGTGGTTGTTGTGGAGAGCTTTCTGAATTAGATGACCATTTCTTTCATTAATATGCTGGTGTAGAGTGAAAGAAGTGTAACAGATAGGAATAAACATAACTTCAAAGCAGTAGACAAGCACACAAGCAAAACCTGGGGTCAAAATGGAACTGCTAAGGTAACAATAGGACTAAAACAGTGGTACAAAATTAGTGCACACAACCAGCAAGACAGCCAATTTAATTCATGAAGAAAAGAATCAGGTCTTTTTGTGAACTTTTTTATTTTGGTAGCAATTACGATAAACATGTACTGTTGTATTTCAACTGTGTGTGTGTGTGTGTATGCGTGTGCACGCGTCCATTTCGTTAGGTAAAGTAAGTGTAAATACGCTTACATGTAACCTTAGGACTTAGATTGATTGTAGTTTTCCTTGGAAATATTCAACCAATTAAATCATTGGATTCATCATAGACAGAAAATGCCTGGATTGAGGACATAACAAATAGGATTTACTAAACCTCTGAAGGTGTAACTCCACACGATAACATGTATGGTTGTTTTCAACTATGTGTGTGTGTGTGTGCGCGTCCATTTCGTTAGGTAAGGTAAGTGTAAAGCGCTTACATGTAACCTTAGGACATAGATTGATTGTAATTTTCCTTGGAAATATTCAACAAATTAAATCATTGGATTCATCATAGGCAGAAAATGCCTAGATTGAGGACATAAACAAATAGGGTTTACGAATCCTCTGAAGGTGTAACTCCACACGATAAACATGAATGGTTGTCTTTCAATTGTTTGTGTGTGTGTGTGTC